TCATCTTGAAAGTATCTCACATGTATAATTCAGTAGAACTTGCCAGGTATGTTTGTCAATTTTCTTTAATATTAATCTGTAGAGTTGAATTTTCATCTCTTTGGAGTCCCATAAGTGCTCTCATTTAGTGCACACCACATAAAAAATAATTGTGTGGTAAATGAGGGTAAATGGAAGAGGCAGCTCGGACAGAGGTAACCCTGGCTGCCCTGTGGACTGGGTGGGTCTGTGTCAACCTACACCATTGCAGCTGTCAAGCTCTGACTTAGAACAGTAAAAACAAACGTAGAAAGGTCACGACACAGACCCAAATGTTTTCGTTAACATTGGCTCCTTTTAGACCACAAAACAGAGTCAGAATTTTCAGGTACGTACTGATTAGTTCTTTATACTGTTTGGTATTCCTTGAACTTTGTGCATATTCTTCAGAGTTTCACCCCATTTTTTCCCCCATCAGGCTTAAAATTTTTTAAAAACATCTTAAATATAGCTTCATTCAGACAACTGCTTGAAAAGATGTTTATAAAAGAAAGCATGGTTTTTTGTTGATTTGGTATTGAGTATTTATGCTGTGAGGCTAGACATGGCTGATAAGTTCATTCTTAGAATCTGGGTGGACTTCTGTTCTCTACTATCTGGCATGGCCTAGAGACCAATCCTGTAACACAGTTACTATTTAGAAAAGCAAGTGTCTTCTGAAAACCCCCACCCTGCAAACATGCTTTTTCAGAAAATTTTTGGTTAGTCTTCTACATCATTTGTTCTTCCTTGTGAACTTTAAAATGCCTCTACTGGCTGAGGGAGACAGCTTTTTAGCTTCAGTAGTCAAGGAGCAGAATTCTGTGGATTCATTGTAAAATCCTGGGTCTATTTTAAGCTACTTGACCCAGGAAAAATAGCTGGAAGCAATTGTAGGAGCTTGGTGTCAAGCTGAAGGGTTCAGAGTAGTTCTCGCTTGATGTGACTTCAAGTGTCATTCTTTGTAGATGACTCGTTTCTCTCTTAGCCATGGCCTCTTCTCATTCCACTTAGCTACCCTGCTGAACATTTCTAGTTGGATAACATGGCAAATTCGTACTGTACTATCTCAAAACTTACACAGGATTACTCTTCCTGATTTGCTTTTTTTTATTTGTATTAAAAATAGTACCATGCTGTCAGTAGCTAGGTTAGAATTCTTGGATTCATCTTCATAGTTGCCCAAATTTTGTTAGGTATGCTATCGTATTTAATCTCTACTATTCTTTTCCTTGCATTACCAGTATCTTTATCCCACTTCTGACCTTTTATCACATCATACCCAAATTAGCTTATAAACTAGACTCGNAGAAAGCACGGGTGTTTTCATATCACATTATAGTATATACTTGCACATCTCTTGAAATATCATTTATGTTCATCACTACTTCTTAATTAGGGTGTTTATTAGTCCTACCACTAGGTCTTGGTTTCTGTTTCAGAGAATTAAAAAATACATATTTTATGACCATATTTCAATGTAATTGGGTTCCTTTGTAATCTTGTACTTCCATTTTAAGCATTTAAAAATGGTATTCTGAGAAGCTTCCTCTGACTGCCACTGTGATTCAGTGGCAAGGTTAACCCTGCCTAAAGGGACTTGGCTCTTTAAACTTTCCATTGACAGTAGAGATACCTTTAAAACGAAACCATGCTAGATGTCAGTGTGGAAAACTGGTTCTGAATGACCCAAACCAGAAGCATTACTGCTTTTGCTGAGCCCTCCTCCCAAAGCAGCAGGCCCAAGACGGCAGTAGCAGAACCACTTGTGTTTCTCATAAGGGGAGGTACAAGTTGGGGATCCATGGCCCAGGACACCTTACTGAGATGACAGTTCTGGATGTGCAACAGCCCCTGCATTGCCCTCTGGGTAATTCGAAATACAATTATTGAACCAATTCAGTTGTTTTTTCCTAGATAAAAGTATTTTTATTCTTTGATAGTTGAGAACGTTCTTGTTCACCTCCAGAGTCCTAGCACAGTGTACTTTCAAGATAAGCCAGAAGGTAGTTTTGTCTCGTATCTACACAGAATACATTCACTTTAAACTATATGCACTTGGCAAAAGGATGGAGAGAAAAGAATCATTTAAAATAGTTAATTTAAAAATAACTTAAAACAGACAGTTCCAAGTAACATTCCACTCATTGTGTA